CAATAATTCTACAATGCGATTTCACTTCCCTTAACAACTCCCAGGTTAATAAAACACACTGAATTTCCAATAAACTACCATATAGATCATCCATGCCAAATTAGACCACTAACAAAAGCCAAGTAGAAAAGATACGAAATAAATCCCATTGTGAAATCTGCTCTACTTCTCGACGTGGAGGGATATGGACGAGCCACGGTCCGAGGGTATATATATAAGCTAGAGACCTTGGCTCGGGACCCCTATTTCATTTCAACGTAGGGTCTGTTCACGTGTGGTTGTGTGTCGCTAATTTTATTAGTCTCACACACCACTCGAAAAAAAATAATAAACTTTGTCATAAAACTCTAAAAAAATTAAAAAAATACAAAAAAAATCATAAAATAACAAAAAATCCCCATAAAAATTGCAAACGGTTTTAGAAACAGAAGTGCAAAAAAGCTGTTTGTGTTTAGTGTGACATTGTTGGTGAGTATTGACGGAAAAACCTGTTTTCTTTGTGCATGTATTCGCCCCTCGCTTACCCAGGGGAGGGAGGGCGCATCGTGGCTCAGTGCTTTTCGTGTTGGAGTGTGGAAATAAGGTGGAAAATGGGCGGAAAAGCGAGTGAAAGAGGGAGACGGGGGCGCCATATGGTCACGGCGGAAGGTGTCATGGCCGCCGCCGCGTGGAGCCTCCTCGCCCCTCGCCCTCCGCTCTCCGCCCTTCCCTCTCCTCTCCTCTTCTCTTTTCTCTCCTCCTGGCACTCCTTCCTCTCCTCTCGCTTCTCTTTCTTGCCTTCTCTCTCTTCTTTCTCTTCTCTTGGTCCTTTTTATCTTCTCTTTTCCCCTCTTCCTCACTTCTCTCTTCGATCTCCTGCACCCGCTTTTTGATGCGATTTGTTTTATTTGTCCGAATTCCTTGCACTTAATTCGTGTATTTTCTTTGGTTTTACGTATTCTAATTCTTCATTTATTGTCCCTAACCCTCGCTGGTAATAATAGCACGTAAATTATTTTCTAGATAAATTTTGCTTTTATTTTCAATCGTAACCTTTACGTCGTGGCATGTGTAGGCTGTAAGCAGATTTTAGTGCATGGTTTATGTTCTAGTTGACATTTTTTGCACTCGTGGCAGTTACGGTGTGCACACGTGTCTCCCAGTTGCCATATATGCTTCGAATGTTGTTTTAATGGAGGTCTTGCATGGGGGAATTCCAGTGTAGGGTTGTTTATGATCTCAAGACAGTTGAAGAGGCTGAATGAGGAGTGGTAGTGGTAAGGCTGGGATAGGGAGATGGGAGGAGGGGAGGGGGGTGAGTCACATGTGAGGAAATTTCCCACACCCTTCTGATGTGGGAAATGGGAAAGGTTGCATCATGTTTGGGTGTGCTAGGGGTGCGGTGGTTGTTTTTGCTCCATTTGATTAGTCTTTATGGTGTGGATGTACTAAGCTTGGGCAAATTGAAGATATTTATGTAAAGGACCATAGGGAGCAGTCGTTGGTTCAAGAAAATATCTACAGACATGAACGGAAACTATGCAGATCGAAGTAAAAGGTCGCAGAATATGCCTCTTACAGCCCAAGTCCACTTGGTGCTCTGGAGCTTCTGCTTTATCGTTCCGTGCATGTTGAGATGGACATTTTCAGGGGATGTTAAACCCTTCCCTTAGGCATCGCCAAAAGGCACGCCCAGTCGCAGTAATTTAGATTGTTGAGTAAAGTTTGCGATATGGAGTTCATGACAACCTCAGGTGATTGGGTCAATACCTTAAAGAATTACCCCCAAATTGATTAATGTAAATAGGTTTAGGTATTTGTTACTGAGAGCAGCGCACCCTTCTGAAACTTAGTCCCATAACCAGGGTTTCACGAGAACCCAAAAGCTGAAATCTAATCTTTCTACCTTTTTGTTTGTGCCAACTTCAAGAAAACAGACATTAGGAACTGTGTATGAGGGTATTGTGGGCTTGGTATTTGGTATGCAGTGCCTATTGTTTGTCATTTCATTGTGCATAAGAGGCAGTAGCAGTTTCACCTATGTTGTTTGACTTGTTTCTTATACTCGGTAAGATGATATCCATTTCCCTCTTGTCTGCTTATGGTAACAGCCTAAGTTTGTTTTACATTGAATCTTTTAGACTACAGTATATGGTAATTCGTTACAGTGCAGACACACTGGTCAGAGATTTAGTCCTCAATATCACATCTTAGAATATATTCATTGATCTAAATAGCCACCCACCCAACACTCACGGGAAACATTGTCTTCACCTCAGTATGCTCGGCTAGACCGAGCTAGAACTTAAGAGCAGAGCATTTCAGTCATTTACCTTAATTTCTGGCATTACAGTTTGTGGCAACAGATTTCTTGTGCCAACGACTACAACTTGTCCGTGACAAGGATATATATTAAATATGCTTGAACATTTGTTCATAAATATATATAGACATAGGTACATAGATGTATTTAAAGATGCATAATGTAAAGGTCTGTTTCATTTGATTGATTTATTAAGTACTGGTAAACTATTAATGTCATGGTTTATTTTGTTTTGTGCTCTGTAAAGAGATAGTAGTAGTTTCAAGGTATGGTGAATTGGGATTGTTGCGTTTATCAGTTTTTATCTGTGGGCTGTCTTAAAATGTTTTCCAAGAACATTTGGTTTCATGGCAAATGTTGACAATAGAATAGTTGTCTTTAGTGGCAGAATCCTAAACTACAAATAAATGAATGGATGAATTAACCCCAACCTTAATGCACAAAGTTAGACTATAGAACGAAGAAAAATCAGCTCAATCCATACAAGAAAGACTACTATTGTGTAATGATTACACAATTTTGGCCACATCATGATAGGGTCAGAACTAAATTCTAGATTGTCTTTAAAAAGGGATTATAATCCTTTATGCTATAATTCTTTATCTAAATATACTTATTTTACCTAATGGGCAATTACCTTGTCGTTTCATCTTTGTGAATTTTTATTTTAAATATTAACCTCGGTAATTATCTATAGTTGGACTATTTTGTGGTCATTGCAAAGTAAAGATATGCACATCATTATGTATTAAGGATGGTAGATCTTCAGGATTAAGCAATGCTGTGACCAATTCACTTTGAACCTTTGGATCCAGAGGCTATACTTTCCACATGTGGCCCATGATATGGGCATTAGGTTTGTGAGCATACTTATGTAAGGTGATAAAGACTCCATTCCACCCCTTTGCAATATAACTGTCTCTTTATTTGCATAAAAAAATTTAGTGTTACCTTTTTCCATTGACTATATTTGTAAATAGGAGTTAGTCCATGACTTGAATTTTTTGCACTTCCCGTCATGATGGGCAGGAATAGGATCTTAAGCATGGAAAAAGCTTTCTCCCAGGAGCCAAGCTCTCCCAGGCTTTTCCACACTTGCTCCTAAATGGAAATAATGCAAAAGCGCTTGCCAAGATGGCCAGTCTATTCAACCTCCATGAGCTTTGTGCAACTAATTTGTCACCCGGGCCTGTAGCAAAAATTCTCATATATTCACGTCATGCAACCTTCAAGCAAAAATTATTCATGAAGTGATGGGTATGTCATCCAGATCATAGGGGTTAAACTCTGGCAGTGTCATATAGTCAATATCAAGATGTAGACTCTAGTGATTTATTAGATAAAGCAACCATGGTCCTTCTCACTGAATTTGATGTCCTATTGTGGATACCATTATTTTTAGGATGACTTTATCTATTGTTATTGCAAGATCTCCCTTCCTCTTTCTGCTGCTTCTGGAGTTCTAAATATACATTAAATCTTTTTGCTGTGTTTGTAACTCCTTGTCTTGCTTGTCCAGACAATTTGTCAGGACCAGCAGATCAGTGAGGCTATGTATGGAATGCAACCAGCTCTAAAGTAAACAATCTCTTATTTTATCATACATTTTAATGTTTTACATGTTGCAAAGGTCTTGTAACTCCTGTCATACATACTTAACTTTACCTGCAACGGACACACAAATACCCCTTGATAACAAAGGGCCATAAGATTATCTCCCAGTATCATATGGTTGACTGTAACTCATTGTTTACATGCAAATGCTATTGTGCTAGCCTGGCAGTGAAGGAGGATAAGATAAACAATTAATCCCAGATGCCGAAGCAGTGGTCCCGAAGGGTCAAAATATCTGGTCCATCTTAGTCTAACTTATTGGATGAGGAGTTCTGAACACAGCAGTAGGTCTCGGATAAAAAAAATATATTGGGGGGGGTACAAGAATGGTATAAATATTAGATTAGTAATTTTTTTTGTTATTTTAAGGACTATGGAGAAAACAGTATTGCATGCTGCACAGGTAGCAACTATGGAAATTTCTCTTGGTAGTGTTTTGCATGTTATAGTAATAAGCTGTAAATGTAGATATGGGATGCATAACTTCTGTGTAGACAAATTCAAACAAGCAAAAGGGCAAGATTACTCAAGGTTGCATGGAATGGAATAGGACTTTACACTTGTGAATGTAGTATTTGGTGGAATACTGACAACTCAGTTAGAGAATAATTTGTAAAATCCAAGGCTTTCCAGTTATTTGTTATATTGTGAACTGACTGACTGATTTTGATATTGAACCAACAGGTGTGATTTGGCTGCAAAATGAATCCCAGTGGCCCTAGCTACCCTCTAGCCTCGCTCTACGTGGGGGATCTCCATGCGGATTGTACAGAGGCCATGCTCTTCGAAAAGGTTAGCAGTGTATAGATGTCAGGCCTTCAGGTGATATTTTGTTGATGCTTATATGACTTTAAACACAAAAATGAATTTTTTTTAAGCTTAAACACAAAGACCGAATCCTCGACCCTCGTCAAACACATGTGGCAGGGGCCAGTAAAACCCCCCTTCCTAACCACCCTGTGACTTGTCCAAAAAGTTGTAAGTATGATTTTATGAAAGTAATGGATGTGTGGAATAATGGTCGGTAGCTACTTATATTTTCAGGAAGCTACAGAAATGTTTGAGAGGTGACAGCTGTTACAAG